CCGGCCCCGCACAGCCCCGCCCGGCCCCGCACAGCCCCGCCCGGCCCGCACAGCCCCGCCCGGCCCCCTCGGCCCCGCTCAGCCCCGCCTGGCCCCGCACAGCCCCGCACGGCCCCACACAGCTCCGCGCCCGCGGCGGGGCGGGACGGGAGAGGGGCCGGGCTGTTCCCACGCGGAGCTCCAGGCTCGCCTCTCTGCGGGAGCCGCGTTCGGCTTTGTCTGTCAGGAAAAGGGCTTCAGGCGGAGCGGGCAGGTGCGACCCTGCTCCGTTTGCCTGTCGGGAAAAGGATTCCAGCCGAGCCTGAGTTCCAAGTTTGTTTCTAACTTGATAACTAATGTACCTCTGGTTCCTCTTTAACGCGAGCAAAGTGATAGGATAGCAGAATCCAGTCTGACAAGTAACTGAGTGGTTCCACTAAATTAACTAAACTAACGTGCTTAAAAGACAATCATCTTTCTGTTCACTCAGGCTTCCTCATCTCTGTAGATGTGGTGACTTTATGATATTGGTATGTGTTTTTTGAGTCTTCTGTGACAGAGATGAGTAAGTGTTAGACTGGTTCAAACGGCCGAGCTTTCCAAAGCAGTGATTTTAGTCTCTTCTTGGCTGTGGAGTAGGACCTGTGTTGTTGAGTGCAGCTACGAGCAGGGCTCCTCCACAGAAGGGATGTGCCACAAGCCACAAGTGACAGTGGCACCAGCTGTGCCCAAGGTCTGAATATGGTGGCACAGTCAGGGTGGTGCAAACAGACCCCATTAACAGCCCAGACAGGGCACAGTGGTGAATGAAGTCTGGGTCCCATTTTCTTCCTGTTTGAAGTGATACATAACTTGTAACATATTTTTGGTCAACTTGAGGAGTGATTGGATGCATATATATTCCTTATTCACTCTCATAGCCGTGTTTACCTATAGAACTTGAGTTTTTCACAGTCTAGTATTGTTAATGCAAGAAATTGCCTTCGAGTCAAAATGCCCCAGTAATGCAGCACCAGAGAGAGACAGGAAAGAGAAAACCATAAACCTTGAATGTTTCTAGCAGATACTGTGGAAACCCACTCACATCAAACCACTGACACCAAACACCAGCTAAAGCATCAAGGGCCCAGAGTTTAGGCAATGCAACGATCTAAACTTATTTTGGCCTGGCTAGTTTCATTGTAAAAATATTTACCAAATGGACCTAATTGATTTAAAAGCTGCCAGAATCCTTACAGGCTATAAACCTGTCAGTGTAAATTGTGCTTAGCACCTATGGCTTCCAGTTGGGTGTCTTGGTGGTGTCTCTGGATGGAAGAGCGGCATCATTGGGAATACTGGGGAACATTTGGGGCTCTGTTGAATTCCTTGTTGTTCATCTGAAGGGCTTCTGGTTTGAACGAGCAAAGGGCATAATGGCACGGCAAATCTTTGGCTTTCTGTGTTATCACTGCCACAGGGACATGAGAATGCCAGAATGAGATCAGTTCACCTTCACCAAAGTTTCGTCTCTGAGAAAAGGCAGATTCTTGATACCAGCAAAATACCCCAAACCTTTGGCTCTTGGATTTTGTTTGATTTTTCAGGAAAAGCTCTGACTGTGAGCAATTGGGTCACACATCATGTTTACTTAAAAAACAACCACCTGCCCCCAGACTTTTAAACATGAGACAAGTGTGAAAGCAGTTGGACCAGAGAAAACTCTGTCACTTCAGCCCCTCTGTGACAAGGGGGCTGTGTTTGGTAAAAGGAAACTTTCCTTTCCCTTGGCCTGCTTTTCTTTAAAACTAAGCTGTGAATTGCCCCACACTTTACCTTTTTGTCCATACTTCTGATACCAGAGGTACACAACAGCCTGTCACAGTGTAATTGCAATGACTCTTATTTTACTCCCAACTATAGCAAGACTAAGATTTTACTCCCAACCCAGACAAGATTTGCCTGTTCCTTGACTTACTCTCTAAAGCTGCTTAGAGAGACAGGAGCATTTTATCAAGGAATCGAGGACTTTTTCTTTACTAAGTTGTTCCCAGTTCTGAAAGTGCAATTGAGCATGAAACTGTCTTGAAGGAGTTCCAGTTTTAGAAAGAGCTGATGGAAAAGCAGGATCTGAGCAAAATTACTCTTTCTACAGTGCTGTGGGAACAGGTGGAAATTAGAAGTATATTAAAATGCTGCTTTTTAATATCCACTTAACTGGATATTTTTATTATAAGAGGCTAAAAGGTGCCATGCTCAGATTTTAGCTTGTTTGGCAATTCATTGATGTTTTTAATTGTATTAGGTAGTCGTGGGGTTAGTTAAGAGATATAAACTACATTTATAGAAATAGACTTTAGATTAAGTTATCCATACTTATATTTTATTCCATGGTTCATAGGTGTCTCATAGGACTGAGGATCAGCACAGTTTGCATTTATGTCTGGCATTCCAGGATATCAATAATCTGGTCTCGTTTGTGTGGCAAGTTGTTGGTCAGTGCACAGAGGCAGCCAGAACTGTGGGGCTGTGGAAGATACTCATCTTGCCAGAAAGATCACTTTATTGCAGTAAAAAATATATTTTATTCCTTCCAGACTCTGTCCTACTGTTAAGGAGAAAAGTGAAAATGTAGTGTTAAGTACCTAAAATTTGTTTTCCAAACCTTTCCAACACAGCCATACTGTGATGTTATTGATCCTTTAAAAACTGTTGGCTCTGAAACAGTTGCTTTCATGAGGACCTTCAGCGCAGAGTCACAATAACATTAGTGAACAGTGATGTTCCTGGCGTGTTCTTGAAGTTACAATTCCAGAAATGTTGGGTGTTGTCTTTTTGTTTGCTGGGTCTAGTGTACTGTGAGTGCTCTGTGTGTATGGTGAGACAAAGAAGGGAAAATGAACATCCCAACGTGCCCTGGAGTCCTGCTCCTGCCTCCAGCGTGGCTTCATTTAGTGCTTGCACAGGCAGGATTTCAGGTGTGCATCCAGGAGCGTGGAGGTACTGCTGAGAAACTGTGCCAAAGGCTGGAAAGGTGTTCTATATGCTTAGGGACATGAAGAGCATATTGAGTGGCTACAGGAAAGAGTTTCAGGTGCTTCTAAAGTAAGGAAAATATCTTTGTTAAAACCAGACAAGAACTAGTCTCTGGAACCCTTCTTGCTGTGGAGATGACGGGAAACCAGAGGGGTAAACAAAAGTCCTGACCTGATTGCAACTCGGTTTTTATTCTGAGTGATATTACCTTAGACTGTGCTCTTTGTCTTGGCATAAACTATTTAAAGGGAAGAAATGATGTGTTATGTAGTCTGCAGAGGAAACAGCTGCAGTTCTCAGTAACCAGGTGTTGTATTTGACATCTCTTAGTCATTCAGCATCTGGAACAGTTTAAAGGCTCTCCTGCAGTAATTGGAAAAGAGAAATCTACTGCTTTCAAGTTTATTTATTAGTGCTCATAGGGTAAATATTTCTTTTTTATGAACAAATTTCAAAGTAAATGGAGGGGGAAAATGGGAAATTCACAATAGGATAAGTGGGACCAGAATTTGGCTTGTAGTGCTTCAGTTAGTTTTACTCCTGGCTTTCTGTTTCTCTAGCTGATGATTTTGGCAGAAGTTCCTGTGCAGGCTGTAAGGAGCAGATGTGATCTGAGCCTCTGCTACAAGGTGTTGACTCCTCTTAAGAGTGCGTATCTAAATTACTTCAGAAAAGTGTTTTCTTTCTACAACATAGATGCCACCTTAATTCCTGCTGTAAATTAGATTATAGGTTCTCAGGATAAACACGTATGATTTAGGTTTTTCCTTTTTAGAGCACTTTTTCTCCTGGATATCCCTAAATACTAGAGATTAGTAAGTTTGTGTGTACAGGTGAAGGAATGGAGGTGCAGTGACTGTAAAGAGCAGATGCAAGGAAGGTGGTGAAGGCTTCAGTCTTGGTTTTGAGATGCATTTTGTGTTAGTTCTCATGACATCTAAAACCTAAAATCCCTGGAAAATCAGAATCAGCTTCCTTGGCAAGTTGTACATCTTAGTGCACAGTCCCCCAAAATGCCATGCTGGGCAGGGTGCTGTGTGGAGTAAGGTGACACCAAGAGTGTGGATGTCCCCTGCTCCTTGTTATTCCGAGGTTTTTGGGCACTGCTGAGGATTGACAGCCCTGAGCCTTTGCCTGAGAGGAGCTGTGAGTGAGGAGCTGATGGTTTCAGCTCTGCCATCGAGCAGGGACTGTGTGTCCTGTTCACTGCTTGCTGGGACTCTTCATGCACTTTTAATAAACCATGGCAGATTTTAAGACTCTTTTTTCCTCTTGAGCTCAGCAAGTCTCAAACTCCTTTCACAGTGGTGGAGGTTCAACAGAAAGAGCAGAAGATGTCCCTGTGCTCTGCCTCATGTCCAGCCCTGGTGGTTCGCCCAGTCTCGCTCCTGGGGTCGGAAGATGCAGGTACAGCAAGGCCTTGGAGAAGACATAGACACAGGTCTCCTGCCTGCAGGGTGAGCATGCAGGAAGGTGTGACACACTGCCCACAACCTTTTATTTCCTCACAGATGTGTTTAAAACAGAAGTGTTGCAGTTTGGGTGCAGCCCAGCCTGGTAGGTGTCCAACAGGTATATCCACAGCTCCTGTGATCCGAGGGATGAAGTGGAAGACTGGCTGTTGGGATTTGGGTCCTGAGCTGGTGTAGGTGTGAAAGGAGCACCAAGCTGAATCGTTTCAAGACTTGGATCCTTCTGGGCTTTTATGTGCTTTTCAGATTCCTGTGCAAAATTCAGGAGCTCTCATTGTGTTTGTCTGAAGGAGATTTACCAACCCCATGCCTGAAGGCAGCGGTGGATATGGGCATGGCACACAGGGATCCATGTGTTCTCTTGTTCATGGAATACACCTTGGAATGTTGAAGCTTTTATCCATCAGCAAAGTGTTTCATGACAGTCATATTTTTATTCCATTGGCATTTTAATTTCTGCTGAGATGTTTTTTTGCAGACAGAGGGGAGACTGCTGTTCTTTTCCTTCTGTTCTTCAGCTATCGCAAATAAAGTTCTTTGAGGAGACTCAGCCAGCACCCAGCTGTACAAAAATGAAAGTAGCAAAGGAATCCAGGGCACGGGAGGAGTCTTCAGCCCTTCCTGTTGAAGGTTTTCAATATGGAAACTGAACCTGGCTTATGGGTAACACATACTATTTGTACAGAAGAACAGATGCCCAAAGCTATTGGTGGGCCCAAGCCCCTTTCAGTCCTGGCTGCAGGACTAGGTCAGCAGGCTTGGGGGGGGCGGAGGAGGAGGAGGAGGAGGAGGAGGAGGCAGGGGGATGTCGGGCAGGTCCTGCCGCCGCGGCTGGGGAATTGGGGGAGGGCGTGGGGGAGGCACAGAGGGCTGGGGCTCCAGTTTTCTGTAGGGCTGCTGGTGTTGAGCCCCTCTCCGAGACGTGTCCAAATGGACGTTCCTGGGGCTCTCTGGAGGCGAAGGGGAGCGGCGCAGTCCTGGCTGGGGTTTTGGGCGCCTGTGGAGAGAGGAGGTGGCTGAGGCCCAGCTGCAGGGGGGACACAGGGACTCTGCTGCCCAGCAGGGCCCAGAGCTGGCAAGGCTCAGCAGCACGGGGGAGCTGCTGGCACACCTTGGCCCCGGTGGACACCTGCCCCTCAAGGCCCCAGCGAGCAGGGGGATGGCTCTGGGCAGGGTCCCTGGGCAGGAGCGGGCGCCAGGGCACGTCTGCCTTCCAAGGGCAATCTCGACCCCTCTCCTTCTCCTCCCCCTCCCCACCTTGCTTGGCCTCTGCCCGTCCTCCTGGGACTGCTCTTGGCCAGGCAGGCTCAGTTGGAGCCAGCACTGGCTCCAGTCCCAGCGGGCTCCCCAGGAGAGGCCCAGCAGCTGAGAGGCCAGGACAGCACTGGACAGCAGCAGAACCCTCAGCAGAGTTCTTTGGCCAAGGACTAACTGGTCGCTCCACAGCAGCCAGACTGGGAATGTTCCATGGATACGAGGAGATACTAAAGGAAGCTGTGGGAGGGAAAATCAACTTACTCTTTGCTGTCAATCCACCACCGGATCCCCACATAGCACAAGATCATGGCCAGAGGCACAGTGAACAGTACCACCACTGTGCCCACCATGCAGTGCTTGCGCACGTCCTGGGGGCATAGAAACTTCCTGACGCTCTGGGGTTTTTGGTCCTGTGTTCCTGCCTTGCCAACCACGTCTGCGGGAGCAATTTGGAGCGTTAGCCCATCCTGGGCACCCCTGCTAAGCTGACAGCACGTTGGACACAGCCAGGACGTTCTCTGTTTCCCTCAGTGTGGGTGCCTGGAGGCTCCCAGCCCTGGGGACAGGCTGTCCCACCAAAGCAAACCCAGAAGGCCGGGAGGAGAGCCCGGGGGGAGCGGAGCTGCTTGAGCAGTCGCTCCTTTGAGGGACATGCACACAACCCATCCCTGCAGCAGGCAGTGCCAGCCCCATCCCTCCCTGCCCCGGGACAGCTCCCACAGCCCAAGGGGACGGAGTCAGGCCCTCTCAGGAGACACGTGAGCCCCTGCCCGGGGTGGGAGCCAGGGAGCGCTCCGGCCCTCGGCTGGCGGGAGGGATCCCGCTCTGGGCTGCTCTGGTGCCTTGGGCCTCTCCAGACTCAGGGCCAGCTCCGGGAGCAGCTGCAGCGGGAGGGACCTTGGGGCCAGAGTCCCGTTTCCCAGGGGCTGCAGAACATGCTCCTGATGCCTCCAACCCGTCACGCTTTCAGCTTACCCGGCTTGCCAGTGGCTGGCATTGCCTTCCTTCCTTCAGGGGACTCTGGCAAAGAGTCATTTATTTCTTTTGGAACCACCGCTTTCAGCACAGCCTCTCGGTCCATCTCTGGAGAAAGCAAGAGGGACAGCTGGATCAGATGGAGCTGATCCTCATCAGGGAGGTGGCATCTTCAGGAGGCAATGCTTATAAAAGACATGGGAAAGGTCCAGGGAAACCCCCGGGTTTTTGGGGCTGGGTCGGGGCACTCCCTCCTCCAAACAGCCGCCACACCAGAGCTGCCGGGAGACCAGGCAATTGCAGGGGATCTCCTGGTCTGCAGGGCCCGTGGTGCATTTGGGGCACAGGGTCAGGGGATGCTCAAGGCCTTCCTGCAGAGGCCGGGGAGAAGCTGCAGCCAGGCCAGGCGGGGAAACAGCCCCACAAGGCGGGAAAGCAGCAGCGGGGCAGCGAGGCTGCGATGGATCCCTTCCCGCTGTGCAGCCACTGCCCGTCCACACGTGGATCTAAAGCCCCCGGTTGAGGAGTCTCACGGCTCAGGATGAGGGAAAGGACCCACCTCGCCGTTGTTCCAGTTCACTCAGCATCTTGTCCAGAAGTTCCATTGCCTCCTGGGATTTCTTTTCACCTGGAGGTTGGTTCTTGCCTGTTGGAGGACCTGAATGGGAAGTAGTTGCATTTGACATGAATGGATTAGAGAAAACCGGAGCTGAGCCTGTGAGGTCAGCAGGGACAGACTACTCACCCATGCCATGTGAGCTGGACCAGCGTGGAGCAACCAGCACAGGAGCTGGAAAAGTCCTCCCTGTGGACAGCTCTGTAACTCAACAGCCAGAGACACTTGTGTCAACTCTGGGGCTCTGCACGGGCAGCCCTGAGGCGCAGGAGGGGTGAGGGGATCCCGCAGGGACAGGGCACACACGGGCAGGTCTCTGTCCTGTCCCCTGCAGAGGTGCCCGGCTGGCCCAACTTTGGGCTCTGAGCTGGCAGCTCTCCAAGGGGGAAAAGCCCTGACGTACCCACACGACCTTCCAGAGGCTCAGCCCTGGGCCCCACTCCAGGTTCCTGATCACCATCACCCCCAGGCTCGGCTGCAAAGAAGGGCAGGACAGAAGAGGTCCCGTGACACAGTTCCAGACTCTCCCTCAGGCTGGAGGGGCAGGGAGAGCAACTGGGCAACGGGATCCCTGCGGGGCCCTCATCTCTGCCCTCCCCTCAGGAGCAGGGGCAGAGCTCCCACGGGCCTGCAGTGGCCCCTCGCTGGGACCAAAGGAGCCCCACGCAGAGCTGTCAGGGCACCAGGGACTCCCTGGAGCTGCCCCAGCTCCAAACTCAGCCCCAGCCAGGGCCATGGCTTGGCAGCCGCAGCGGGAGCACCTCCGGCTCCGAGGGGCCGGCAAAGGAGCCGCGCCAGGCACAGCCCCCCGGGCACAGCCCTGGGCCCGGCCCCTTCCCTCTCTGCCCTTCTCTGTGTCTGCACAGCGGCCATGGAGGGAGCAACTGGCATTGCCAGGGAAAGAAGATTAAAAGCTCCCCCTGAGAGGGATCCTGTGGGATCTCTCTTGGGCCTGAGCAAGAACAGGCCAAGATTGTCACAATCCAGCAACCCTGAGAGGGTCTTAAGGAAAATGGCACATGAATGAGCTCTTGCCACATTGACAGGGATTACTTTTTCAAGGAAAGAGTTGTTGAGAACTTACTTCCAGTAGGTCCCAAAATATCCAAACCATAATCTGTCCAATCTGCGGGGGAATCTTCCCCAGCACCCTCATCTAGAAGCAAGCACAGATGGGAACCGTTTCCATTGCATGCAAGGATCCCCTCCTGCCTCAGAGAATTGTGGCACCCTGGGCTGGCTCCTGGCTGCTCTCCACAGTCTTTCCAGGCCCTGTGCAACATCCCTGGGGGAGCGGCTGGAGCAGCCAAGGGCCCCTCGGGGCTCTCTCCCGCACCCAGGAAACCCTGGCTAAAGCCCTGGGGAAAACCATCCCCGACGCTTCCCGGGGAGAAGAGCCCGCTGGCCCGGGAAAGGTGCCCCAGGCCGCCGGCTCACCTGCTCCCCGTGCTGGCACCGGAGCAGCCTGGGCAGCCCTGGCGTGCAGGGCCACTGCCAGGAGGAGGAGGAGGAGGAGGCGGAGAGCAAGGGCCATGGCCCCTGGCCCTCACACCGTCTCGCAGCTGCTGTCGCTGCCACTGTCCTGACACCGCTGCTGCAACCACAATCAAGGTCGGGGCCTGAGTTATGTTGTCCTGGCTGGTGTGGAACCACAGGGCCCTGCTGTGACCTCATGGCCAGGGAGTGGTTGTGTGGGGATGGAGCTCAGGGTGAGGATCTGCCTTCCTGGGGAGGGAGCACGTCCCGGCGGGCAGCTCTGTCCGAGGGCTGCCACACAGTCCCACCCAGGGCTGAGCCTGGGGGATGAAGGGATGAAGGGATCAAGTGGTGAGAAGGTGGATCTTCCTGGTGAGAAGGACTCGGGGGAGCTGGTGGATGAGGGGCTGGACATGCCCTGGCCATATGCTCTCAGTGCCCAGAAAGCCAACCTTACCCTGGGCTGAGTCCAAAGGAGTGTGCCCAGCACCTCGAGGGTGGTGATCCTGCCCCGCTGTTCCTCCCTGGTGAGACCCCACCTGGAGCTCATCCAGCTCTGGGGCCCTCAGCGCAGGGAGGACATGGGCCTACTGGAGCAGGTCGGGAGCAGGCACAAAAATGCTCTGAGTGGTGGAGCCCCTCTGCTCTGGAACCAGGCTGGGAGGGCTGGAGGTGTTCACCTGGAGAAGAGAAGGATCTGGGGAGACCTGATTGCAACTTTTCAGTTCTCAAAGGGGGCTTGTGAGAAAGATGGGGACAGAGTTTTTTAGTGGGGCCTGTTGTGACAGGACCAAGGGGTAATGGTTTTATCCAAAAGATAAAAGATTCAAACTAGATATAAAAACCGTTTTTTATGCTGTGGGTGGTGAAACCCTGGCATTCCTGGAGACATTCAAGCTCAGGCTCTGAGCAACCTGGTCTAGTTGAAGATGTCCCTGCTCACTTCAGGGTGTTGGACTAGGTGGCCTTCAAATGTCCCTTCCAACCCAAACCATTCTATGTTCCTGTGCACCATCAAAGTAGGGCTGTATTAATTCCTGGGGTGGTGATGCTGGCACCTGTATTTCGGCAGTTGTGCCATTAGTGATGGGCTGAGAGAGGCTTGAGGGACCAAACAGTGAGGTCTGCAAACCACAGACAGCGTGTTCAAGGAGAAAAAGGAGAGGAACACATTTCAGATGAATTGGAAAATGCCAGCATTTTGCTGCCCATTCTGTGTTAAGAAGGGAAGGAATGTCCTGAAGATCCCTTCATGGGTGTGCACTATTGGCTGTCCCAGCACTTGTGTCCTGTAAAAGAGGGAAGTTGTTACAGCTTCTCCATATCCTGTTTATAGCTGGGTAAAAACCAAATACTGCACTTCTCCATCTCTGCTTTCTTCCCAATAAAGGCAAATTTTGTCCATTATTGTGTGGAACATATTCAGCTATTCACGTGCAAATTCTCCTTGCCATTCACACAGTGTTGATTTGCTCTAATCTCACTGCAATTAAGACTGATACATTGTGAGGCAAAGTGTTGAGTGATTAATCCTGGTGTCTGTGACTGTAGAGAGATATTCTGTAATTAAATGACATTTGAAGACAGGTGTAGTATACAATACTTCTGGCATGTATATAACTTTGACTAAATATCCAGACATTTCTGTACGTTGTGTAAGAGGCCTGGAGCTTGGTACATCACTTCTTCTGTGAGTACTCACTAGAATAGTAATTGGATCAGTTTGTTAAAATAAATAAGCAGAAGTAATGCATTATTTCTTATGTATGCAGTCTTTCATATTTAGGATATGTTATTGACACAGTACCTAGTTAAGTACAGGTAGGATGGGCATTCAGTGCTAGCAAGATATTATTTGTTCATTCCTAGTTTTTTTTTAAATGGCAGCATGATAATCACCACAGAACTTATTTTGCTAGGAAACAATATTTTAATTTCTCTGCATGATCTCTCAAAGTCCCTCAAAATATTTTATTTTATTTTATTTTATTTTAGGCTTATTCAAACTAGTCCTTGACACAGAGCAAAGATTAAATCTACCTTTTCAAATCAAGGCCATAGTTCCAAGCAGAATTTACCATTTGTGGTGGCAGTTTTGTCTGCTCCGTATGTCAGAATTCCCACTTCACCATCTGTTTTCTCAGTTTCTTTTGAAGTTGAATTAACTGGAGGACAAGAAAGTGCTTTCTGCTTCAGAAGTTGGGCCAAATCCAACTGGTTTTGGAATCTGTTTTTTTGGAAATATTACAGTTCAGAAAACATTAAAAATATCTGAAGCTATTTAAGAAATACGGAAACCAAAAATATAAAGCCCTGCCATGTTCATGATTGCACAAAACCAATTTCTTTTTTCAAAAGAAAATCAAATTGAAAGAGTTCAACTGCCAGAATATAAATGTAAAGAAGGTCAGAATATCAATAGGGTGTCAACAGGATACATGGTCCTTCTCTTTTGAGTGAGACACCTGAAGAGGTGTGTAAAATAAAACATCTTGTACCACAAGACCTTACAGATTTTTCTGTGCATCTGCTTTGCTTTTTGTGAATTTGACATATTGTTGCTACTTAAAAATGAGTATTTATCAAAAACAGTGAAAAAGGCTGATGAACAGAGATGAGTCTCACTGCTTTTTAAATCTCCTGAATTAAACTGTTTCGTTGTCCCTGTCTTCAGATCGTGCCTGGAGGGTGGGAGCACAGGCCATGACATTCTTTTTCCTGTGAGGAGCCCTAAAGGTTCCTCACAAGGGGGTGACAGAATTGGTGGTAGAGTTTTACATGCAGCTCAGAGAAACACAATGTTTGCCCCAGAAATCTTTACATCAGTCGTCACCAAACCTGGTCTCTGGTTTTTTATAGGTGTGATTTATAATAACAGCAATTTGAAAATCAAGGCATTTGATGATGTTTTGAGATGTTTTATTCATTTAATAATGAAATAACTCTAATTCAATACATGCAGACAGATGTGTGATGACTATTTTACACAAATATGATGACATTCATTTATTTTTTTAGGGCTTTAATCTAACGTTGTTACTCATATTGACTACAAGAACTCCACATCATCCAGTCATCTCTGAGGGTCAACTTCTCACCACGGTGACTTTGAGGCTTTCTGCTGCTGAATATTGTCTGCAGATGATCATATTCAACCTACAGCATTTCCTCCCAGATTTATTGATATGTGCAACATCTTCCCTTTATTCTTGGCATTAAATCTTATCGACATCTCCTCCTCCTCCTCCTCCTCCTCCTCCCAGGAATTTCAGTCTTCAAGGTCTGAGCTCTTCAGCTGCTTCACAAACATTGTTTTAATTCACACGGGCATCCATGCAGTGAACAACAAATCAAGGCTGTGCCTGTGAAGCTTGAAGCAATGTACATTTATATCACTAAAAATAATACCAGATGAAGCCAAGCATTTCCCAAATAACTCTACCTGTCCTCAGGGATGTTTGCCAAAGGATCGTAGTAAGAGCTGGGGAGAGAGAAGGTTGTTTGTGTGGCTTTGGAGCACTAAAAGTGATGAACATTAAAAAGTACAGCTTTCTGAGATCTTTGTA